AATGGGCATGGATTTGATCAAAACACCTTATATGTTTATGTGCCTGTATGAAATTCTAAATAAAATATTTTTAAAAAAATAAAACTGTCGTGTACCAAGTGCTCTTGGATAAGTCACTCAAAAAAAAAAAATACATGACCAAGGAACCCATATTAATTTTGCTCTCAAATTGCTTTGTAAGAGAATAGTAAATGACTTCGGGTTGGTTCATGCATTTAAGGTATGTTGAAAGAAGTGTGTTTGCACAGTTTTTTGGTGTGAATATTTCTTACCCAGGTTGGACTAAGCATAGAGTCACAAGTTGAGCATGGAACTTGGCCATGATCCTCTGGCTGCTATTGCTTGTGCTTGTGGCCTGCTGTGTAGTACTACTTCTAGAGAGAAGTTTGCTCCTGGGAGTGGGCTGAATACATTGGGCTTTAGAAAGGTACTTTATGACCTTCTCCTCAGGTTTTTCCAGAGCCGGGCAGCTGGGCCTTGTTGGCAAAGCACTTGAGACTTCACTCTCCTTCTGCTGACTGAACAACTCTATGATGTCTGTACTTTGGAAGTTTATCCTCTTCTTTCCACTCAAATTGTCACAATCCCAATACTGTTGTTTAAAAGCTATATTAAATGTCCAATTTGTTCTTTATTTTTGTTACACTTTTTCATTAATTAACTAGAGGCCCCAAAAGCCTCCATGCTGGGCTGTTACATAGTCCAGCTTTCTTTGGTAGCAGGAAGTGTGTTTCCCAGTATGCAGTGGCCTTTCTGAAAGAGTATACTTCTGGATGCAGTTGGAATGCTTTCCTTCTGTTGGACCTATGTCTTATTGTTCTTTTGTAATTTACTTTCTCCTGTTGTTAGTCATTGTCTTTTCGAATATTTTCTCAGCATTAATTCATTTTGTATATACTTATCCTACTCCTGTTTAACTAAATCATTTTCTCCTTTATTTATTTAATTTTTTTTTTGGTCTCTTTGAGACAGAGACAGAGTTTCCCTGTAGCCCCTGGAATTTGCTGTGTAGACCAGGCTGGCCTCCATGTCATAGAGGTCAGCCCGCCTCTGCCTCCCAAGTGCTGGGATTAAAGGTTAGCTCCACCATGCCTGGTTCACCTTTTTCTCCTCTTGAGACATTTATTTGTTTTCAATATTCTGTCAATTTTATGTTCTTGAAGAGCTGTCCTCTAGAGCCTTCTTGTCTGCTCTAGCCTATACTGTTGCCCTCTATGCTTTTGTACCTTCTTAGATTCCTTTTACTTCCCTTGACACAGAGCTCCTGTTTGCTGCATCCCATGCCTTCCTCTTAGTGTATTCCTTCATTTTGCTGGAGTACCTCCTCTAAAAGCTTCTGGAAAAAGGGTGTAGATAAGGATATCCGAAGCAAATGTTTTGAAGTACTGGTACCTAGAAATGTGGCATTTTCTTCTAGTCTTGAATTTGATTTGTAGTTTGGTTGAGCATAAGATTCTAGGTTATAAACCATTTTCCCTTACATTTTTGTATTTCCCATTTGTGTTATTGTTGAACAGTCTGAAGTCATTCTGATTCCTGATTCTTTGGGTGATTTTTTTTTTTTTTTCTATTTCTTCCTCACCACCTGTAGAAATTCAAAGATACTCACTGTATCCCAGTCATCTCAGATTCTGTGGTAGCTTATCCTGGTTTGCTTTTCAGCATTTGCATTTTGCCCTTTCAGTGTAGTGTCCTAAATCCTGACTTTCTTGAATTGTTTTGGATAATCTTTCTGGGACTCTTGTGTTTGAATTGGTTGGATCTCCTACACTGGGTTACTTAACTTTCTTCTGTATTTTCTGTTTTCTGTTTTTTTGCACTTTTATTTTACCTTCTTGTAGTCTTACTTGTCTTATCTTCTGTCTATTTTGAACTTTCTCTTTCTATTATCATAGTTTAATTTTGCAAGAATTATTTTGTTGTTGTTCTCTAAAGTCTGCTCTGCACTTACTGTTTTTTGGTTTTAGTATCTTCTACTTTATTAATATTTACTAATTTTTTCTGTATTGATACAGGCTCTCCCCCCCACCTCCTCCCCAAGCTTTACTATTTATTTTTGTCTTTACATTTGATGTTAGACTTTTTCATCCAGTTTTAAAAGTTAGAGACGTAGAGAATCGATGGGAAAATGTGTGTGTGCTAAATGTGACTGATAAGGAAAACAGTGAGGAGACATGTAAAGTCTCTTTTTCTTTGGTCTTTTTTGAGACAGGGTCTCCCTGTAGCCCCAGCTGTCCTGGAACTCACTATGTAGACCAGGCTGGCCTTGAACTCACAGAGATCCGCCTGCCTCTGCCTCCCAAGTGCTGGGATTAAAGACATGGAAAACAGTGAGGAGACCTGTAAAGTTTCTTTTTTGAAAGAATTCTCACTCTAGTTCTTTAGGATTTCCTCCTGAAACACTTCTTTTAGCTGTTTAGCAATGCCGTGGAACCCAGAGGGAGACCACTAACTGGGAATCTCAGTATTCAGTTTGTAACCAGTTCTTTACTTTGATGACACTTCATCTTTTCATTGAGTCCAGAGCAGTCACCTTGTAAACTTTACCAAAGAAACTTGAGAACAACCTACCTTGGGCACTAAGCAGCTATTTTGTGCCCTACCTTCCTCCTGAAATGAAACTAGGCTTATTGACTAGAGAGTGAATTGCTTAGTGGTGTGGGATCAAGGGATCTTTTCACATTATAACTCACTTTCAATTAGCCCTCCCCCACCCCACCCACATCTCTGTCTTAGAGGTCATTTATGCACTAGTTCCTGAGTCTTTTAGGTTTCTTGGTGAAAATCAAGCTCCATCTCCTCTTTCCTCAAGGACAATTTAAGATTCAGTCTTCTTGAGTCTTCCCAGGCAATTACTTGTCTGTTCACCTTGTAGCTTCTAAGATTGTGCTGCTTTTGTCTTTCTGAGTTCCTCTTGGGATTTTATGCATTGCAAAGCAGTCCCTTGACTGGTTTCAAGATGGAAAGAGATTAGATGAACATGTTCAGCCCACCCTCTTTCCAGGAGCTCCAATGTAAAAATGTTTATGTGTGTTAAAAGATTATAGGGCAATAAAGTAATGAATAAAAAGTCTCCTTTTGCCACCTCCCTAGATCTGGTATCGAGAGGTAACTAGTGTAAATGTCATGTGCACCCTTTTAGAAAATTTTATTTATAGTTTTTATTTACACAAAATAATACATCTTACCTAAAGCACAAAGAAAGCATTATTGTGTAAATGTATGTAAATTGTGGTATATGATAGAAGCATATCTCATTTAATATGTATGGTAATTATGAAGTGTGATATCAATATATACAAATGTCTAATTTTAGCTGGTTCATAATATTACACTGTTTTGAGGTTTTTAAAAATCAGATTCAGTTGATAGATATTTGTTTTTATCTTTTTAATACTGTTATAAACAATGATATTACAAGTATTCAGATACATATTTCCTTCAGTCCTTGAGTATATTTTTATTTAAAATATTTTAATTATTATTTTTATTTTATATGTATGAGTGTTTTGCCTGTGTAAGTGCACCTGTGTTGTGCCATGGCGGTGGAGGTCAGAAGAGGGTGTTGGATCCCCTAGAACTGGAGTTATGGATGATTGTTAGCTGCCATGTGGGTGCTGGGAACTGAACCCAGGTCCTCTGCAAGAACAGCCATTGCTCTTAACTACTGAGCCATCTCTTCAGCCCCAGTCCTTGAGTGTATTTTTAAATAAATTTTTTGAAACAGTTGCTTAATCAAAGGATATATATTTTCCTTTTTCTTTTTCTCTTTATTTCTCTTCCTCCAACATCTAATGTAAGTGGATTTTTAGAAATTGGTTGGTTTTTGTTTGATTATAAGATAGCCCTCTCCTGCTCTCACCTTCCTGAGAAATAGGTAGATAATGAATGTGCCCAGTACTTCCCAGATGACCTGTCCTTTGCTCTTCTACACTGGCAGGAACAAGAATAGTTTCTTTCCTATTAAGAAGTTCAGCCTGGAGTCTGGCTTCCTCGGGCTGTGTTGTCCTCATGCTCAGAGGACCTTTTTCATAGTTGTGAAAATACACCACTTGACTCTTCAAAAAGATTATGTTTCTACTAATAGTGTATCAAAGTGTCTTTGTTTTACACCTGTGTGACATGATTGTTATCAAGATTAAGCTTTTGATCGTTTACAAATGCTACCTTGTAGTTTTAGTTTGTCTTTATGTATAAATGTGTGTGTTATAGAACATTATTTCTCTTCTATGAGCTATATATTTAATTTGTTTAGCCAGTTTTCTTTGGGTTATTCATCCTTTTCATGTCAGTTAAACAGCTCACAAAATTTTCTTTTACTCTGAATATAACTTTAAAAAGATCACTAAAGTTCATTTTCATGTACATTACTCTGAATATAACTTTAAAAAGATCACTAAAGTTCATTTTCATGTACCTTTGTGTGTGTGTGTGTGTTTGTGTGTGTGTGTATTGCAGACTTGTCTTACTCTGTAGTTCAGGATGGTCTGGAACTAACTATGTAGCTCGTACTAGCTTTGAACTTGCAGAAATCTTTTTAGTTTATCCTCCTGAGTGGTGGGGTTACAGATGTGAACCATGACATCCAGCTCTTTATGTTGTTTAGATTTAAAAAAAAAAAAAATCTGTCTTGAGAAAATAACCGACTGTGACTAGTAATAATCAGATATATAGAGATTAGAATCGCATGTGCATCTTAGTGTCAATTGTATTAAAAATGATTTTTTCTGTATGAAACTGTATTTTAATAATGAAATGGGGATCTTTTTTTTAAAGTTTAAATCCTCATTTAATTTTATGTCTTATAGGGTTTATACTGAGTACAATATTGTATAACTGTATTAATTCAACTATTAACCTCAAAATTTACAGCCAATTTTGAAAGAGATGCATCTTAGCTCTGGAGATTTTTATTGAATATGTCAATGCTGTTGTAATGAAATGCTTCTTCTAATTATATGGTTATTAAGTAAATAATTTTTAAAAAATCTGTCTTTCAGTGCTCTACCCAAGAGTTCTTCTTGATTGTCAAAAGCCTGTGTCACCTGAAGTCAGAATTTCAAGCATTGTTGCCTGCTGTTAATTCCCACGTTCAGTCAGACTTGCTCCAAACACTCATCTTAGAAATTCCTGAACTCCTCAATCCAGTGGAACATTACCTAAAGATACTTAATGAACAAGCTGCCAAGTAAGTCCAGGCCCTCACTTATTCCTTTCCATCAGTGAACATAAACCAGTACAGTTGCCATTTGATGTGTGAGTTCTCAGTCTCTGCTAGAATAATGGCTGAAGTTGCTTGAGTACTCAATGGTTGAGTTCCAATTGAGTTGTAATTGGAAGTATGAATGGATACTAAAATTTTTACATTATAGGGTCTAAGCTTAGTTCACCATCTAGGACAGCTATAGTGCTTCCCCAGGTATCAGATGATAAAAACACAAAGTCCTCCCAAAGCCAAGTAGCAGCAGCTTATTAACTCAAAAGCAGGTGTCAGGTGGCGCCTATCCCCATGTCCTACATATCCAGGCGTGATTGGTCTCATATTTAGAACCTTCAGAGTTGTGTTTGAAAGATAGTTATCTCATGGTACATCTGACAGGGAACTGATGTTGGCATTTGTCTTTATTTTCTAAATGGGCAAGTGACAAATATTTCATTTTAATCTCTTGGTTTCATCATAGGAATCATGAACTTGCAAAATGAAAATGATACTAATTTGTCAAACCTTAGAAGTTAAGAAATGCCCCCATAAATATTTAGTGGCAGAGCTGGAATTAGAGACACATTTCCCTGACTTCAGCCTCTTGGTCCTTCATCATGCTGCAAATTGATGACTGGTCTAATTAATGTACTTCAATATATGTATCTACACTTTTTCATATTTTAGAGTTGGTGATAAAACTGAATTATTCAAAGACCTTTCTAACTTCCCTTTAATAAAAAAGAGGAAAGATGAAATTCAAGAAGTCATTCACAATATCCAAATGCATTTACAAGAAATACGAAAAATACTGAAAATTTCGTCTATACAGTATGTAACTGTATCAGGACAAGAGGTAATGTCAAATATACTTTAATTTTATATCAGTTTTCTTGGGGTAGAAGAACTATTTTAAAATATAAATAAAATCTGTGGATAAGTTGTAAAACTTTCTGTATATTTCATGGAAATATTTCATAATAACTTACTTTGATAAGAAATCATGATAGGGCTAGAGAGATGGCTCAACCATAAGAACATTTACTACTCTTGCAGAGGACTCTGGTTCAGTTCCAACACTTATATCAGAGCTACCCTCAACTCCAGTTCCCCAGAGGATCCAAAGGCCTTAGGCCTCTGGGGCACCTGCACACATGTGGTGCACATAAATTCATACAGGCACAAATATACACATAAATAAAAATAATAAAAAAATCTTAAAGAAGAAATCATGGTGATATATTATCCTCTTCATAAATTCAAGCTATTTAATAGTATATGTGTTTTGATGTTGAAACTGTATTATAGAAAATCTTAGTTACTACAAATAGGAATTTAGAGGGTTCACTTTTTCTCAATCCAGGAGAGAAAAGCTAGTGTTTGATTCTCAGCTTATAGAAGATGAAATGATGCCAAGTGGACCATATCTGGTTGGATCACTCAGTGATTAGATGATAGCACTTCCTCCCAAAGTTAGGGCCACGACCATTTTTTTTTTTTTTTTCTTTAAAGCTAGCCAGGTGTGGTAATGCGTACCTTTGACTATCCTGGTCTACATGGCAAATTCCAGGCCAGCAAGAGCTACATAGTGAGATAGTGAGACTGTCTCTAAAGCAAAGAAGCACAAGCTAGAATAGAAACCTCCATTTAGTGACTCTTCTGTAGATTATAGTGCTGTTTAGAATATGTGGTTTAGGTTGTGAACTTATTTAAAGTTTGGTATTAATGTCTGAGGAGAGCAGCAGAGAAGGAAATGCTTTGACAGTGTGGTTGTAGCTTTGAGTTCTGTTTCGAATCTTGAGGCGTCTGCTATATTTTGTATTTAATTGAAGGGTCTAAATATAAGGGTTTCAAAAACTTTGCCTTATTAAAACAACAGGTTAATAAATTTATGAGTAATATCTATAGGATGAACATTTTATTCAAGATTTTTAAAAGTATTTTTTCTTAAGGGAAAAAAGCTTAATTTCAAATCATATGTCTTAATATTTGCATTGCTTTGTATATTTTGACAAAGGATGACCAATTGTATGGTTATTTGAAATTAAAAACTAGAATATATGATAATACTTATAAAATGTTTATAGCCTTGTACATTCAGTAGATTTAAATATTGACTTAAGTTATCATACTTTGGCTAAAGTTATGAAGATCTTATACTCAACAGATATTTCACTAAGTGCATTTCAATACAGAACTCTACATTAACAGAACAAAATGATTTACAGTATTTAAAAAGGCTAGCACCAAATATTTAATTGTATCTTGTTTTAACCCTGTGATTATGACCTTGACAGTTGAATATAATCTCAGTGCCACGATTCTGGTTCATCAGTAAGGGTAAATAGTTACAAGAGTGGCCTTCTGGTATTATGGTGGAAAAGCTTGAGTATTAAGTGCTAGTTTGACTGTTTACATGTTACATGACTAACTTGTGTTGGGAGTATGAAAGTACCTTCTCATCACAAGGTTCTTTGCTAATGTTATCATGAAGTAATCATCATGATGTGGGTACCATTTGTCCAGCATTAGTTATATACTTGAATGCTGTCACTTTGCATTTAATTCTTTAGTTTTTCCAGTTTTGCTGGAAAGAACCTGGTTGGGCTAATTACTCAAGATCAGAAGCCCAGTTCTAGCCAACCTGCGGGGCTGAAATCTATCCTCATGCATTGCTTCATTTCACTCACAGATTGTAACCCAAGAATTATCAGCACCATAGATTTTTTTTGGGGGGGGGGATAAAATTATTAACATAAAACTTTTTAAGTATTGGGCAAACAGTGCTGGGTTTAGCTACTACCTTTTAAGTAAAAATGGAAGAAAATGATGAAGAATTAATAAGGAATCTTAGATTCATTATGAGTGCGTCTTTACAGTTTAAGGAAATAGTTTGGAGGTCAAGTTTATTACATCACAAATGATACAATGGAAGATAAATTACGATGTTCTTTCTCATTATACCTTTAGTTAGGATAAGTTGACAAGTTTGAGGGGAAAAATTGCTTTAACAATAGGATGAATTTTGGTTGGTTTTTAACAGCCTCTCAAGAATTTTATTAATTTATATATTCATGTATTACTATTAGTATACATGTTGCCTCTGCAAGTGTTGGCTCATGGGAAAGTAATGCAAGAGGAGACTTGATGTAGCACTGTGAGTTTACTGCTTCTGGGGCATTGCTATCATATTCTATGTCAAGAGTGAGTTATTTCTTAACTTAAATCAAATGGATCTGAGGCAGTATTTAGATTTGATGTAGCATTGATAGTAGTATTATTCCTAAAGGAAAAAGGGGAGGAAATATTGTTGGGAATCATGAAAATATTCAGGCTGACCCCCTCTCTCTCTCTCTCTCTCTCTCTCTCTCTCTCTCTCTCTCTCGACAGGCTGGTCTGGCCTTGAACTCACAGAGATCCACCTGCCTCTGCCTCCCAAGTGCATGGATTAAAGGCATGCGCCACCACATCTGGTGAGGAAAATTTTCTTAACTCATAGCATGTAGTGTATCCAACTATTTTTTTTATATGTTTATCTCTCTTCTAAATAAGAAACGTTTGAAAATTCTCAAGGGGAAGTAAGTAAAGGGGGACATGTAGTGCTAGAGAAAATGGGAAGTGGGCTCTGAGTGAGTTAAAACATCAGCATCCTCCCTGGCGGTGGGGATTGCAATCCCAGCACTTGGAAGTAGAGGCAGGAAGGTCAGGAGTTCAAGGTCATTTTTGGCTACAGAGAGTCCAGCCTGGATCTGAGACCTATCTGGAAAAACAAAAACAAAAAAAACAAAAAACAAAAAACAGAGGCAGTGGTGGGGAGGATTTTAGCAAACCCAGCAAGAATGCCAGCCTACAGAAGTAGGTCCTAAAAGAATAATATGAAAGATTGGTAGAATGAATCAAGGTAAAAATCTGTGCTTACATCTAAGAAATGAAGTTAGAAACTGGAGAGCAGGGTAAATTGCTCTAAGCACTTTCTGAGGTTTCTGGGACATTGCATTTTTTCCCCAATTTTATTTCTTTAGCAATAAAACTCACAAACAAAGGCCTGCCTGCTCATTCCTGGGATGCTTCAAAAGGGAACAGCTAGAAAAATTTTTCCTATCCTGAGGCGAGTGCAACAGAGCAAGCACTGGTGTGTATAAAAGCTGCTGTGCATAAAACCACTGGAGAACTCAGGCTGAAAACCCGAGGACACAGGAGCTGAGTGTGACTGCAGGGGCTGCACTAGTGGGAGGTCACATGGCTCCGCAGCGCCCTCACTGCACTTTGCATACTGTGTTGTCAGTGTACATGGTAACTTACTGAAAGTGGTGGTCCTTAGAGTGGGCCTTTGATAGTCACACAGTGACTTCGTGGTCCACACTGTTCCCGAGGTCCACCTTATGTTTATGGGCTTCTTTTCAAAATGTTCACCGTCCTTCGTCACTGACTCCTGGGATCTCTGCATTAGTCATTACAGAGCCAGATGTTACCTTCCCCAATTAGTGACTCAATGTGGTCTTGATATTTGATGTTTGCCTTTGACATAATTCTTCCTAGAATGATTTCCTAAAAACCATTGTGCCTTCTCACAGAGCATTTTAAAATAGAAGAAACATTTAGTATAGTGATTTTATTTTTGCCGTTAATAATATTTAAGTTTGGGGGCTTTTGCAGTTTTTTTTGTTTGTTTGTTTTTTTTTTTTTGTAAGCATAGGGACTTTAAAAACTGTTCATTCTTTGTTGTTGTTGTTGTTGTTGTTGTTGTTGTTTGAGACAAGGTCTCCCTATGTAACCCTGGCTGGCCTGGAACTCAGAGAGCTGCCAGCCTCTGCTTCTTGAGTGCCGGGATTAAAGACATGCACCACCATGCCTGGCTAGACTGTTCATTCTTAGCTGTATAATTGAGTGTGACAGATTTAAAACTGTATTAATTCATTTTTATATATGAAAACATCATTAGTTCCAATTTTTTTACTAAATATGGAAATTAATAAAAATTAGCCATTAATGTTAAAGCTACAGTATTTCTATTAGTGAAAAAGTACATTGGAGCTGGGCATTGTAGCGTATGCCTTTAGTCCCAGCACTCTGCAGAGGCAGGCCAGTTGGTGCTACAGGGAGACCCTGTCTCAAAAAAAAAAAAAGAAAAAGAAATTGGTAATCAGGAAGATACAAAATTGTGTGTATATCATAAAACTGATAAATGAAAAAAGTTCCTGAAACCATCACAGAGCTCCTGGATTCCATTGTGTACAATATAGGTTTTTGAAAATGTGTCTGAACAAAATACTGATTTTGTATGTGTGTGGCGATGATAGGATCTGAGCACATTGAGAGGAAACCTTAACTAAGGGTAAAATGAGGTATATAATACATGTTTGCTTCCTGGCTGACTTCATAGAAGCTTGCTAACAGAATGAACACAGTTGGATCTATAAAGATAGTGTTGATTTAAGGCTCAGGAAATAGTGCATCTGTAAACTCAGCACTTTGAGTGAGGGGGAAGGAGACAGGAGAATTCTTGGGGCTTGCTAACCAGCTAGTCTAGCTGAAGTGGCGAGCCCCAGGTTCAGTGAGAGACCATGTCTCAAGGAAGTAGGACAAAGAGAGTGATAGAGCAGGACAGCTGATGCCCTTTTTGGCCTCCACACTTGCTTGCATGAGTATGCACACACATGCACGCGTACACACACACACACACACACACACACACACACACACCACACTTCAATCAGAAATTTAATCTGATCTGGATGATAAAATTCTTTTTTAAAAATATGTAAGTGTACCTGTGTTGTATAATGCCTGCGGAGGCCAGAAGAGGGTGTCAGATCCCCCGGAACTGGAGTAACAGACAGTTGTTAGCTGCCATGTGGGTGCTGAGAACTGAACCTAGGTCCTCTGCAAGAGCAGCCAATGCTGCTGAGCCATCTCTCCAATTGTGATAATAAAATTCTTAAGATAAATGGGTACTAATAAATGAAAGGGGTTATTAGGGAAAAATTACCCAGATTTTCTCAAGAATAATTCTGGATTTATTTGGAATGTTTAGAATAATATTTACTAAATTGTTATTACACTGTTTCCAAGAGGCTTTAAGAAATATAGTGGTTGGTCATTTAAATATCTAACTATTCATTTGCATTTATTTTAGTTTATGATTGAAATAAAGAACTCTGCTGTATCTTGCATACCAGCTGATTGGGTTAAGGTTGGAAGGTAGGTTTAAAAGCATTTTTTTCTTCTAACATGAGCTATGACATGTGTATCTGTGTGCTCCTAGACTGATGTTGCCACATTGTTGAAGATAAGAGCAGTTTACCTCCTTTGATTTTTCTTATGGAACTTTGAACCAAAAATAATTGTTTTTAGATATTTTTGTCATGGATTTAAAAATATTATTGAAGAATATGTTTTTATACATTCTTTTTTCTCCTTTTGTAAATTACTGTTTTGTCCCTATAGCAGACAGGGCAAGTTGAGCGGCCTTCAGCTGGAAGATTAATGTGCTTGTTGCAGCTTCTTGATGAATACTGCAACTGACATCTCTTTTAAGAAGCTGAAATTTCATTTTCTACCTCACTGAGCTTCATGTTTCTTTATTCTTAATGTTTTCCTTGGCACATAGTTATAATAGTTACTTCTTTTTGTAACTAATATCATGAACTGATGAATATAAATGAATTGAAAACAAAATTAGAGAGCCACCTTTTCTCCTTGGTTAACGTCAGTTCTCAAGAAGGGACTCATTAAAGAAACAGTGTTGGGGAAGTGCAAGTGGTGGTGGCCAGTATGCTGTTCATAATATTTGTTATTGGGTTCACAAACTTGTGTGAACCTGAGATGAAAGTGTTGCATTTGCCCAAGATAATTTTTTGGAGACTGGTAACTGGCAATGGAGTGAAGCGACTCTGTGTTAAGGACAAAAGGAAATTTTGGCATGATGTGTGAGTGGCTATTAGTTTCTTGTTTTAATTAAAAAACAAAACTATTGTCCAGGGCCATGGCAACAGCTACTGTAGGCACAAACACAGGTTTCTTGAACTGGAATACCATGTTTGTTTGTTTGTTTTTCTTCCCTATGCTTTCAGGAGCTGTAGTATAAATGTGAATATTGCTGACTTAAGGAGATGGTTCCTCTCTTTGAGGCATCCTTCCCTGCGTTGCTGTGGTAAAACACTGACCAAAAGCAACTTGGAGAGGAAAGGCTTTATTTCATCCTTCAGTTTACAGTACATTGTTAAGGGAAGCCAGGCAAGAATGGAGGCAGGAACCTGAAGCAGGAGCTGAAGTAGAGATCATGGAGGAATGCTGTTCACTGGCTTGCTTCTCCTGGCTTGTTCATCTACATTTCTTATACAGCCCAGGCCCCACAAGCCTAGGGATGGTACTGCCCACAGTGGGCTGGGCCCTTCCATACCAATTTACAATTAATAAAATGCCCCATAGATATGCCCACAGGCCAATCTAATGGAAGCAATTCTTCAGTTGAGGGCCCCTCTTCCCAGGTGATTATAGTTTATGTCAAGTTGACAAAAACTAACCAGTACAGTCCCCTTATTTGCTTTTGTCCTATACTACAGTTAGTGAATGAAAATACACTTTATGAAGAGACATTGCTAATAATCATGTTAGTCTGTATAAAAAAATAACTGAAGTATCTCATTAAATGAAGCTCTCCAGAAGAGAAAGGTATGATAAAATGTTTGCACAGAAATATAGATGAAATTAATTTTAAAAACAATAAGAAAGGCATAAATTGGTGCCAACATCTATTGAACATTCAGTAATATAATTTGAGTGAACAAATAAGGTATTTTGGTGAGAGTTTTATCACTGCTTTTTTGTCCATTGTTTGGGTGCCAGGCCTTGCTTGATACAAGGACAGGTTAGAGTATCATCAGTCAGACTTTCAGTGTCCAACAACTTGCTGTTAAAGTTAATAATGACAGTGTGATGTAAGAGTTGGAAAGCAAGCAAAAATCAGGGTACACTTGACCTTGAAGAGCTCTCATATCTATATTGTCAATAGCAGTAGCACCTACCTATTTAACCCATTGAATTTTCATAACTAGGAACTCTGCTAAAGACTTCTGTGACCTCCACAGCAGTTCCTGTGCAGGTGACACTCTTAAAATCCTTGTTTTATAGATGAAGAAAGGAACACATATAAAGTCTATTCCATTTGTACAAAGTTATCAGACATAGTAAATGGAGGATCAAAATTTTGGTCTAGAATCTCTGACTGGGGAACCAAGCTCCCCACATACTGTCTTGGTGATTGAGAAGGTGGAGATTACACTCAAGCCTAGAGGAGCAGATGGGATCCAGAGCCACTGGGGCCTGAAGAACTCCTGACTCTTTTATGGCCCAAACTCATACATTAACATTCTTTGTGATACAATATGTTTTTCTTTTTTCTCTGAAATATGTCAAACAGGAAAGTATGAAATCTCAAGAGTAATATGACCTTCAGCACTTTGTCTACTTTTCTTTCTTTGTCATCTTACTTTACTGTATTTGCTTCTGATGTTTTTAAGCAAGCATTTCATTTTGCATAACTGAAAAAGAACCTTTGCCTATGAAATTAAATGTTTCAACTCTGACTTTGTTATATGGATATAATTTGAAACACATTTTGAAAGCTTCTTGAACAAAATCACATTCTTTAGAATCAGTAGCTTGGGACCATAATTCAAGAATGCTGTTTACAGCTCTTTATGTTCAAGGTTTATCAGCGAATAATAAATAACTGCTTTAATGTTCTAAAATGATGGCATTACTGATTCTTATAACCTTGATTTCCTGTTTGTTTTTCTCCCTCTTGTAGCACAAAAGCTGTGAGCCGCTTTCACTCTCCTTTTATTGTAGAAAACTATCGGCATCTGAATCAGCTCCGGGAGCAGCTCGTCCTTGACTGCAGTGCTGAATGGCTTGATTTTCTAGAGTGAGTTCACAATGAAAAGTAGAGTCTGACTTTTTGCTATTGGAAATAGACCGGAAAATCTTTCCAGCCAAAAGAAAAGTAGAAATTACTGCTTGTGACCTGCTAGAAATAGTTGAGTACTTATGTTCTTGGATTTTATTTTTAATTTTAAGCTCATCTTAGTCTTTGAGAGAGACCAGATATACTTTATTGCACGTTCTAGCACTTTGTTGCTTATGATGTCTAGCAGAGTCGCTTTTGAGATTCCACCTTGGAATTTGCCCTTTCACACTGGGTAGGTATGGATTAGTTGTTGTGTTTTTATTATCTTCATTTTTTAAGTAAATAATATTTTTAATTGCTAATATCTGAGCCAAGAGAGGATGTCACAACCATAGAGATGCAATAGAGATTAAAAAATGACAGAGATGCCTAGAGTTGGACTTGGAAGTAACTTGAAATGTTTATCACAGATCAAAATCTTAGCAACATAAATAACAATAATAATGAATTAAAATACATGCTGAGGGCTAGAGAGATGGTTCAACATTTAGGAGAGCTTGTTGTTCTTCCAGAAGACCTGAGTTCAGTTCCAAGCTCCTGTCCCAGGTGGCTGATAAACATCTGTGACTCTAGCTCCAAGAGATCCAATGCCCTCTTCTGGCCTCTGTAAACATCTGTACTCAAAAACATATACTCATACACAGACACACAGAGACACGTAATTAAGAATAAAAATTTAGGGGCTTGGAGATGGCTCTTGATTAAGAGCATTGGCTGCTCTTGCAGAAGACCAGGGTTCAGTTCCCAGCACCCATGTGGTATCTAACAACTGTCTGTAATTCCAGTTCCAGGGGAATCTGATGCTCTCTTCTGACCTCCGTTGGCAATGCACAACATGGGTGCACTTACATACATGTAGGCAATACACTCATACATATAAAATAAAAACATAAATAATTTTTAAAAGAATAAAAATTTAATATATACCCTGTGTGTTTAAATCTATGAATTCATAATGACTAAGAAAACTAATTCATAACCTTTAGGTTGATAGGGAAATAATACACTTTTTTAAAAATTGGCTGGAACAAAGGTAAAGAATGGATCATTTAAAAAATATTTTATTTTTATTTATGTATGTAAGTGCATCTGTGTTGTGCAATGCCCACAGAGATCAGAAGAGGGAATCAGATCACTTGGAACTGGAGTTATAGACAGTTATTAGCCTCCATGTGGGTGCTGGGAATCAAACCTAGGTCCTCTGCAAGAGCAGCCAGTGCTCTTAACTGCTGAGTCATCTCTCCAGTCCCTAGAATGGATCATTAATCCAATGTTCCTACATAACTTTTACCAATGGGTAGCAGATAAAGAAGAAATGCTTGTTTTTGTAGTTTCCCATTGGTAGATTAAGGACTCATTTTGCAAACAAGTCAGTTAAGATATCTAGGAATTGGGTTTTTTAAAATCCTGTGTATTTTTCTTGTAGTTTTTTATTTTGAAGAAAAAATTACTTGACACAAAAGTTAGAATGATGATCTATGCACCCTTATCAAGATTTAGGAAGTGTTAACTTTTTGCCATACCTGATTTGTGTCTCTCTTGTGTGTATATATACATCTATATTAATACACACATATACATACATATTTTTGTTTCTGAGCTATTTGGAAAACTTATATCTTGTAATACTTCATGTCAAGCAATCTAGGGAAGGTTAATTTTAGTTTAAGAATCTGTTTGTTTCCTCAATACTCCTACCCTAATTTTTTTTTTCCTACCCTAATTTTTAAATGAAAAAATTAGTTAACTTTTACACATTGCTTTTGGTTCTGTTTCTTTACTCTGTTTTAATCTAGAATTGTCTGCCACCTTTTTCATTTTTATGATACAGGTTTTTTTTTTTATTTTTGTTTTGGATGCGTCATGCCATTGTCTCAAAGAATGCCTCACGTTGTAGATTGATTGATAGTCAAATGTTCATATTGCCAAGTCTAAATCAGTGATGTGCTGCTGTATAATCAGTTTTTGGAAGAACAATAGTATTTGTAGTTGGCTGATTTCTCTATTGTAAGTACTTCCACCCTAGCTTATTTCCAGCTACTTCTGTTCTAGAGTTGGGAAGAAATGTCAACACCATTGTTTCATGAGTCCATAGAACTTTATATGTATTAACTCATTATTCTTTTCAAGATCCCTGTGAAGTTAAGTACCATTATTGTATATAACTTTCCAGTGAATAAAGTGCGGTGCAGAAATAAGAACTAAGTTGTCCACAGCAAGGGGGGGTGTTGGAGCCCAGATTTCGCCTGGACTACCATTCACTCAGGCAAGTGTCCTGTGCTATCAGGCTGTAGGTGAACCCACAGGCATGTCTTTGAACAGAAAGCTGTTACTCTCTCTGTCTAAAAACTTAAACAGCAAAAGTTCAGTTGGGGCCTCAGGAAGCTTTACTACATTTCAAGTAACCCACATGACAAGTGAAAATAATGCAAAGGAAAAAAAGAGAGCTTGAGAATTTAAAAGATACTAAGTGGATACCAATCTTCTTTTCTTCAGAGGGGTATGGAATTGCAAGGGGAGGAAGAGATGCAGCTTACTTACTCTGCATCCTTTGAGATTGACTTAAAATCTTGCATCTCGAGATGGAAATTTGCTCATTCATTTCCCTTTTCCAATCAACTTTGAATTTCTCATTGTAAAAGCTTTTGAATCTCTTAGTTTTTCTGTTTTCCGTAGGAGAATCACTGATAATATGGAAAGTAGACTAAACTTATACCTCACAGACTTCAAGGGCCACCTTCTAGAAGGGTCTGGAGATTCAGTTAGGTAATCCCATGCTCATTGTCTTCATTGCCTTCATAATTTCATAGCTCTGGCTTACCTTATCCCTGTTCACATTCCAGGCTAAAGAAAGCCTTTCTTTCTCAGGCTGCGTGCTTTGCTGTTACTGTATTTCCTTCCTGTATCTGTTACCAGATTCTTGATTTTCTTTTTTTCCCTTTGCAATATCTCTAGGGTTTGTATTTTCTCTGACTCTTTTCTGATCTACCACCATAAGAATTCATAGCCTCTCACCGTGTCAGCCTTCTGATACTAACTTTCTCCTGCATCAACTCCAGAGAAATCTGCTTCCGTCTTACCAGCCCTTTGCTGCAATTGAAGAGTCACTCCATGTGAACTAACACTAAGTGTAACACCATGGAAGGATATGATACTCAAGATGTTAGCTGAGCAAGGAAAATGATGTTGAACAATATTGAAATATGCTACACCTTCATATATATACCATCACTAATATGTAGCATATAAACCTTCATGTTTTAAAAAATTGTAATTGAAAATACAAAATATTTTTCTGTTATAATATGCTTACTGACCATGTGTATATCTTAGAAGAGGTCCATGTGCACACATATATATAACTTAATGATGGAGTTTTGTCCCTACAAAATTATCATAAATTGGACATACAATTAATGCAATAAAATATTTAATTCAGCAAACATCATCATATTGTACCCTAGCAGACCTGAAACATGACCAGAACCTTTGTATTAGCCTGTAGTTGGGGAATCTTAAGAGAATAGCAAACTGTGCATCATTACCAGGGAAAAAAATTAAAGTTCATATCAAAGTACCATTTTTGCTGAATGGGTATCAACATTTGCACCACCAATAGCAAGGTGAAAAAATTGTAATTTGAATCATCATAAATTGAGGACTGTCTACATGTAGATTTAGAATGTTAGTGGTAAGGTTGATTTAAATTCCTTTATCTTGTAAACAAATGATATCAGAAGTTTTTGTGGTGTGTGTGTGTGTGTGTGTGTGTGTGTGTGTGTGTGTGCACATACCACTTTTTTATATACCTTTGGAAATAAAAATTATAGGCTGGGCATGTTTATGCACACCTGTAATCACAACTCTTGGGAGTCAGCAGGTGGATTGTGATTTCAAGGCTAGCCTAAGCTACATAGTAGGAACCTGTTTCCAAAATAAATAAAAATGAAAGATAAACTAAAAAAGATTATTAGAGTTTTGAATGAACAAAATTGACTGAAATGTATTTGGAGCATTTACAGTTAGAGCCCCACTTGAGAGCAGCATTTGTTACTGTATAGTTTATTGAGGTTCCAGATGGTATGACTATGATGTCATGGGATGATTGACCTCAATGAACTGACATCAGAGGATTGCATACAGCCATCCCAGTGTGTTTGTCTCCTACTGTTGTGTGTTAATCACTATACTTTTGATCAAAATATTGCAAAAAATCAAGCATCTAAGCTCTGCTGCCAAAGAAATCCTTTCTCAAATGTGTCTAGTCTTATGGAGTATGGACCATGGATACTAAGTTTTCTTGCTTCCAAATTCTAACTTTCTTATAATAGTTGACATATATTAGAAATGTATTTTCAAATAAAATGTTTTCCATTCTTAACTGCCAGTATCATTGAGAAACATTTGATAGTCATCTTCTCTGTCACCATAACAGCCTTAGAACCTGTGTGTACATTTGCTTCCCATGGACCCAGAATTAAAGTCATTGTGCTTTGACGTCAGCCTCAAGTTGATTGATGATGTAGTGATAAGGTTGTGTCTTATGGTGACATAACGTCAAGTTTTCCAGTTGTTGTCTGTTTATTGCCCCCCTTTGGCTTTTCACTTTTTTGAGACAGTTGTCTCCCTATGGCCCCAGTTGGCCTGGAAATGCTATGTAGACCAGGCTGGCCTTGATCTGCCTGCCTCTGCTCCCCAAGTGCTGAGATTAAAGGCTTTCACCATGCCTGGCTTCTTTTCTTTTCTTCTTTTTTTTCTTTCTTTTTTGAGTTAGAGTTTCATGTAGCCCAAACTGGCCTCAAACTTACTATGTAGCTGAGACTGGTCTTGAACAGATCCTTCTGCCTCTACCTTCCATAATTGTAGGATTACAGGAATGTACCATTTTTTTCCGCCTAGTTTTATAAGTATAAATGATCTCTTTGAAATTTGAGGTGGTGTATAGCAACATACAGAAAGACCAAGAAATTAAACAGGGCTTTTTAAATAGTTGTGGTGATTTTACGGTTTGACAATGTCTCTCTTTATTTATATGTCTTATTTATATCATTGACAGGAGAAGGAACATTGTTGCCTCTAGCTAAATAATTATCTTATTCTTTCTGTTTCTTATTTTATTAACTGAAATCTTACCCACTGAATATTCTGTCTCTCATGTCCTTCCTGAAAATTAGAAGATCATCAAGACAGTACAGGCTGCCGTGTAGGGTCTTGGTGGCCCTGATAGGACCTGGGGAGGAGAAAGGGGAAGGACAAAAATGACTGTTAGTGACAAAGTACATTGACACTTAGGTTGAGAGAAGCAAGGACAAAAGCATCAAATATGAGGGATCTTTAACAAAAGAGGGACCAGTGTATAACTACCAGGTGGGCCAATAATTGGGGTAGGGACAGCATAGGCCACAGACCAAGGGGTGGGTAAGAGATGAGATCCAAAATTGAGGTCAGACTAAGAACAGCCACCTGCAAAGTTAAGTCCTTACAATGTCCAGCATCTTCAAAAGTAGCATTTTTAAGGTGGCATCTGAGGAGGGCCTAGCTGTGTTTGGAATTTGCACAAACATACTACTGGTAGAATTTGTATCACTTATTTCAGTGAACTTTCATTCAGGGAAAAATAGATTAATTTATATGTTCTGTGTACTTAGATAAAGATGTGGAAAGTATGCTGTGAATATAATTTTTAGTTCACAAATAATAATAATGTAAAGTAAAGCTAGATAAAATGTCATTAAATTCAACTTTATCTTGATAGTAGTAAAATACATCACAAAACAGGTTTTAAAAAAATAAGATAGGATTATGTAGGAATAACTGGTTATTATACTAATTTAATGATACCTTTATAAGTTAGAGAATATTGTAAAAACTTGATTTGGATAGGAAACAGACCAAAACTTAGTATTTCTAAAAGCCACATTGTATTACAGAAATATACAAAAATGTCATGAAAGACGTTCCTTGTAACATTCCCTCCTCACATTTCTTCCCACGTTGTGTAAAGAATATCTGAGCTGCATTGTGATCCAATGCAAAAAGCAGGCAGCTGATTTCTAGTTTATTGCTAACTATGTAAAAATAAGCAACAGTGATAGTAGCACCTTGCAGAGCGTCATGGTGAGGTGGGGTACATAGAGTTGAGGGTGCAGCTCCGTGAGAGCATCTGCCTAGCCAGCTCCGTGAGAGCATCTGCCTAGCGTGTACTAAGCCTTGCATTACATTTCCAGTGCTGGCAAAAAAACAAAACAAAACAACAGAAGAAAAAAAAAAAACCAAAATAACAGCAACAAAAATCTGGAAACTAGACAAGCAAACAACAAAAGAATGTGATTTGAATATAAGCCCTGCTGTTAATTGTTATGTGACCTTAGGCTAATTGCTTTGTTTCTCTGAACTTTATTTGTGCTGCTTAGGTAGTAAAGATCTGCCTTGGTGGTTATGAGGTAAGAATATAGGCATCTCTCCTGTCTCTGGGCATTAAATACTGATTTTCCTTCAGCTTTTCACATGATCTTCTTTATACTTATCATTGCACTTTCTCATTTTCCAATCTTGGCAGAATGTGTGACTCATCACTGCCTACGTTTACATCTTCAAATTGAACGAAGTCTTAATTTCTCTTGAATGAGTACTTATTCCATTATTTAAGCTCAGTTATGTGTTTTCTATTTACTTAGAAGATATTTCATTCTGGGCATTTAAATACTAAGTCTTAGGTTATTTTGTAGTATATTTTTGTTTTATTTATTTATTTAGTTAGTTATTGAGTGAGATAGGGCCTTGAATTCCTGTGTAGCTAAGGATAATCTGCCTCAGTCTTCCAAGTGCTGGAATTGTAAGCATATAACTGGCCATATCTGTCCAATTATGTACATTTCAAATATTTTAATTAATTTTATTTTATGTATGTGAGTGTATTGCCTACATGTATGTAAGTGCACCTATGTCATACCATGCCCCCAGAGGTCAGAGAGGGCATTGGATCCACTGGAGCTGGAGGTAGGAATGATTGTTAGCCTCCATGTAGGTGCTGGGAACTGAACCTGGGTCTCCTGCAAGAGCAGTTGGTACTCTTAACTGCTGAGCCATCTTTCTAGCCCCAAATTATGTATATTTTAAACATCTTCAATTTAGCATTAACTAGATGTTGATAATTTGTACAGTATTCCACATATGGTCATAAAATACTATGATATGAAGTAATGGAATGACATAGGTAAAAAGAGGTTATAAAGCCTGCAAACATTCCTATACTTTTTTGGAATAAAAGTC